TTTTTGAAAGCCTTTTTGTGATAAGGCAGGCTTGACTTCATCCAATCACAAATTTTTAATACATTTTCCCTCTTATTCTAACTATTAAAATTGAACATTACTTTAACATGAATCATGGTATTTTTTTTAATTACATAAAAAACTTTACAAATAATTAAATTAAGCCATAATTTTCTGGTTTTTTTTTCTTTCTTGGAGTTCAATCCGCTTGATTGAAGATTTTTTTTTTTATATACTTGAAATTTTCAGTAGGATATAACTGAATAAAATGTTTCATGAATAATTCATGAACAAGTGTCATTTTGGTTCTTTTATGTTCATTAATTAAATTTAATAAATAATCATAAATAATATTTTAAGGTTCTTTAATTAAATTAATATATCTCAAATATAATAAAATTTGTTTATATTCAGTTCATTTATATGATAAAAGTATAAACTAATAGAATGTTAGGTGAACAGTTTACAAATAAATGTAATTTTTTTCATTTATATTTATTTATTAAACTTAATAAATGGTAATGAATAACATTTAGGAACACTTTGAAAAGTTTGATGAGGTGCTGCAGCCTGGATATCATTGCTTGCCTTGGTGCCATGGCCACAAGATAGCTGTTAGACTCTCATTGTGTGTGCAGCAACTCAGTGTTCCATGGGAAACTAAGACTAAGGTCTTTGTTCTTTCACTATGCTTTTGCCTCTTTGTTTAAACTTAATATGTCACAAATTTGATGGACAGACATTCTTTTATAGTATAGTTTAGATGTATTTTAGACTGAATTTGGACTCTGCTTCTTGTGTTATCCATTAAAACATATTCCATGATCTTCACTTGTCGTTTTCTATGTTTCTTGCTACGTAGAATTCTTTAAATTCCGACCATTTTGATTTTTCTTTTTTTAAATTTGATTCCATTCGGCTGCCTTTTCATGACAATGTCTTTGTCTATGTGTTTGCATCTGTTCAGTATTGTGGCAAAACATCCTATGCTTTCTATAAGCTCTCGAACACGTGGGTACAAATCCAATCCTATGTTTTTGATGGTAAGCTTAAAGTTTCACTCAATTGTCAAGTGATTTATGAAAGTATACTACTAAATTCCAAAATATATCAATGATTTGCTGTGTTTTGGTATAAAATTCCATGCTTTTATCCTATAGTTTAAGCATTGATTCTTCTTCCCTTTTGTCTTAATGTCAAAACAGCAGCTAGATTTTCGATATGGAGTAGGTCATTTTGAGTAGACCATTTTGAGTTGGGCCGAATATATTTGTATATTTTTATTCTTGTTTTGGGCTTACTCTATTATTTGTATATTAGTGCTGTGCGTGCATGTTAATTTCTCAACAAGTGGTATTCTAACAAATTATATCAGAACAATATTCGAGATGTGGAAAGAAGAAAGACTAATTAGTGGTATCAGAGTTAAGTTCAAGATGTGGAAAGAGAAGAGACAAGCCCAAAAGAGAGATCATGAAGACGGTGCGAGTATTTGAAAATGTCTAAATAAGGTAAGTTATGACAAAGTATGATTTAAGATCAGTTAGTATATAGTAGTAAGCTCGAGTGAATGTTTGACAATAATTGAAATAGAATTTAAAAAAAAAAACCATTAGTACTATTAGATTGGCATTAATTGCAGAAGTAAAGTATAATGTATTGAATAAGAGTACTATAAAAATTTATGGGATAAATTTGAGAGTAGTTACATTTCAAAGTCATTAACTAATAGATTATGTTTGAAGATGGATTAACATTCTTTGAAGATGCAAAAAGATACGAGTATTTACAATTACCTAAATGAGTTTAATAGGTCAATTTCTTAATTATTGCATCAATTTCTCAATTATTGACTATTTTTGTTGATGAGTTAGAAGATAAAGAGAAGGTTTTAATTTTGTTATCATCTTTACCTAAATCTTGTAGATTTTTAGTTTAAACTTTGTTAATGGGTAGGTTTACTTTGAAATTAGATGATGTGACTACTCTATTGAGTGAGAACGAAAGGTTTATAGGAACACATAACTTATCACCTGGAGGAAGTGCACTAACTATAAAGGATTTTGATTAAGGAAAGACTCAAAAAATGATTGATGGATCAAGAAGGAAATCCAAGTCAAGAGACAGGGATTACATTGATGTAGAATGTTATTTTTATGGTAAAAAAAGACATATCCAAGTATATTAGAAGAAGCAGATAAATGATATGGCTGTTTTCAAAAGGGTGAATGATGAGAAAAAATTAGATAAAAAAAAGTGATAATGCTACTATTGTGTCCGATGATAATGAAGTCCTTTTAACGACTTGTGTGGATGAAGCTTAGACTTTGAAAGTCGATAAATGTTGGGTTTTGAATTTAGTTGCTACAATTCATGTCTGTAATGATAAGAGTTACTTTGTAGAATTGGAAGAGAATGAGAAGTATGGGAATATTGTGGTTGCCAACAATGAAAATGTATAAATTCAAGACATTAAAAGTGTTTGCCTTAGATCTCACAATAATATTGTTAAGACTTTTTATCATGTAAAGTATGTACTGAATTGTAATTGCAATGTTATTGCTTTGGGTGAGTTAGCTTCTCGTGGATATATATACTATGCACGAAATTATTAGTGCAAAGTGTATATTAGGTGAGTTAACTTCTCATGGATATACATATTATATAGAAATGATTGGTGCAAAATGTACATTCTAGTGTGATTCTACAAGAGAATATGGTAAAAAATCATTTGTACATACTTAATGAAACTTTAATTGTTGGGATTCCTGGGACAAAGGAAAATAAAAAGGGCAAGTGTGTTAACTTTGTAGATACTGTTAAAGTGTTTAGAGATTCAAGTCAACGGATGATTTGTTAAGGTTTGTTTCAAATCTCTTAATCCCACGTCGAAGGTTGAGTAAAGTTACAAGAGTTGAGAATTTGTATTATATCCCACATCTGGAGTTTTAAAGTTGTAAACATAAATAAGATGCTTTGGTTTTGTTTGGTAATTTCATATAATTAAACACTAAGAAAATAGTTAAGTGAGTAGGTTATTAAATGGGTATAATTAAGTTTTGGGTTAATTTTTGAGTAAGAAGTTTTTTATAATTTTTTTCATTTTAAAAATTTCACAATTATAAAGATTTATTTGTTAGTGAATTGAGTTTGAAGTAGATTATTTTGAATTGGATTGAATATATTTATGTATTCTTATTATTATTTTAGGCTTGCTTTATTGTTTATGTGTCGATACTACACATGAATATTAATTTCTTAATAAATGATATCAAAATTATCATGATCCTAACATAAAGAGGTTAGGGTATCTTCTAAATCTTCATCTATTTTCACCCCGCATGGACTTGATGCCATCAAAGACACATTATCACAAAATCGAAAGGGGCTTTCGCAAGCCCATGCTAGTCCGGACTAGATGAACATATAGGCTTTTGATTCATTGACTTGATGAAAATGTTGGACCTTTAGAATTTTGGTTTAGTTTAGTGAAAAGATCAGTTCTTAAAACTGAGACAATTATCAAAAGTTCCTTTCATACAATGAAATTATCACCGTTTCAGGAAATGGGTAATTGGTAATAAATATAGAATATTGCGATATATTATTGCAAGCAACATTTTAAGTAGAATTTGATAATGAGTGATTATTCAAAAAAATCATAATAATTTACACACGATAATTATATTATCATGTTTGATAAAACAATTAATGATCTTACATGATAGTGATCTTGGATCACTGAAAGTAATCAGATTACTGTGTTGAAAAATAATTAAATTACCATAAAAAAATGAGAAATTTTTATCACCAAGATAAAATAATATGTAAAATTAGTAAGATCAATATTATTCATTTAATATGTGAATTAAAAATTTGATTCTTCTTAAAATTATAATTATTTTATATTATGAGTTTTTATATTTTTAAACTAATATTTATTATAACAAGTTTAAAAATAATTTGTATTTTTTTAATTTTTTAATGTTTTATATAATATAATGTCTTTTTTTTTATTATGATTTTAATAGATTAGTTTTATTTTTTAATTCTAATGTTTTTACATAATTTATATTATAAAAATTAGTTTAATTAATGAATAAATATATTTAATAATTTAATAATTTAATTATATTTATTATGAAACAAATAAAATATTACTATGTTTTATGAATTATTATTTTTAAACTACATTTAAATCATTAACTTGTGTAATCATTATAATAAAGATAGTTATTTTCATGCTTTTAAATAAAATAATTTTTAATAATACCAAAAATAGTAATCTTTAATATGTATGAATTAATGATTATTCACTAAATAAATGATTTTAAATCCCGAATGATAAGATCATTTTAATAATAAGATCATTTCAATAATTATATTATCATAATAATTTTTAAAATGATATCAACCGTTACTTAAATCAAGGGTTATATTCTTTGCAATTTACACCGTCCTTTCTATGTTATTTCCTTGTGTTTGAAAGAAAGCCATTATCCCATTTGTTTACAAAACTTATCATTGGAATTTGACTTGGAGCTAAAATTGAATTTGTCTTCCTTTCACTTTCCCTTGTTGAAATAAATTATAAAAATAGATTGTGTGAAAACCAATGCTTTGATGTGTATATCAACAATAGGATAAGAACTTACAAAAAATACAAAATGATACCATCATTAGCCACATTAAATTATCAAATACAGCATACATTGATTCGCCCTTCGTTTTTGTTTCTTGGGTTGATATTAAGTACTTTAACATCCATTGACAAGTACATATATTCATTTATTAATCCAAGTCTTCTGACTTTTATGCAATCCAGCATTAGAATTAGTGACGGCAATGGTATTACATTATAAGCAAGGCATTGTCTGCTGACTTTCATCGATTGAAACTTGGAATACGAGTTTTAAACATAAAACCAATGAATCTTGGATATTTATATATATATATATATATATATATTTTAAATAAAATTTTAGTGAATGGCACTCTTTGGACAAATACGGCGAGCAGATTTATCCGGTTACATGTATGGCATTATTTATATCATCCTTGTTTTTGTTTTCTCTTCAAAATCCTGGAGGTATGTTCTCTCTCTCTCTATCTCTTTGTCTGTGTGTTTGGATGCTTAGAAAATGTGTCAGACTTGAGACTGCTGCTACATGAATTATGATGATTTTATAGCTGAAATATGTTTCTGTTCAAATGGTTAGTTAGACGTATTTCTTATTTTGCTCCTTTCTTTTATGTTGTTTCTCCATAGAAAAAGATCAGATAGAAAAAATTGGGAATGGGCAACCTATTTTGCTGCGTCCAAGTTGACCAATCAACAGTTGCTATCAAGGAAAGATTTGGGAAGTTTGATGACGTTCTGGAGCCAGGATGCCATTTTTTACCTTGGTGTCTTGGAAGCCAGCTTGCCGGTAATCTCACACTCCGATTACAGCAGCTAGATGTGCGTTGTGAGACCAAGACAAAGGTTTGTTTCTTGTTAAATTATGCATAAAAATTCCTTCCAAGCAGGCCGACCTATTCCTCTTGGCTTACTTTGAAGTTATAGCACAATATGTAAATCAGCCCTATCATTTGTTTTTGATTTGAAATTGTTCCTGCAGGACAATGTTTTTGTCAACGTTGTTGCATCTGTACAATATCGTGCCCTGGCAGAGAAGGCATATGATGGTTTCTACAAACTTAGCAACCCCAGGACACAAATTCAAGCCTATGTTTTTGATGGTATGAGAAAGAACTTGGTGTATTCTTTTTAACACAAAAGAGATCAGGGTTGTAAGTGGTGAGATTTAAGCCCCACATTTGCTAGATGTCATCTTTTATAGACAATGAACTAGCTGAGATAAACTCTGGGTTTATAGTTAATGTATCTTCCTTGTTGCCAAATTGTACCAAGAAACTGAACTTCGATTTTCCTTTTTTTTTTTTTTTCTTATTCTTTAGTTATCAGGGCAAGCGTTCCAAAGCTGGATTTGGATGATGCTTTTGAGCAAAAGAATGATATTGCTAAAGCAGTTGAAGATGAGCTTGAAAAGGCAAAAGCATCTGCTTCTGTTAACATCTGTAATCAGATTCTTGATGTCCATATAAAATTTATTGATGAGCACTTTGATTTATTGTGATTAACAGGCTATGTCTGCTTATGGATATGAGATTGTCCAGACCCTCATTGTTGATATAGAACCAGATGAACATGTGAAAAGGGCCATGAACGAAATTAATGCTGGTGAGTTATTCTCTGCAATTTGTTCTGTCAAATCAAGCAAATAGTTAATAGAGCTCTTACCGTGACGTCTAGTTGTTTCAAATTGTTGATTTGATTTTCTCAATAATTTTTATTTTTCGCAGCTGCAAGGATGAGAGTTGCAGCAAATGAGAAAGCAGAGGCTGAGAAGATTATACAGATTAAGAGGGCAGAGGGAGAGGCAGAATCCAAGTATCTCTCAGGAGTTGGTATTGCCAGGCAGCGCCAGGCAATTGTTGATGGTCTAAGGGACAGCGTGCTTGGCTTCTCAGTCAATGTGCCAGGGACAACTGCTAAGGATGTTTTAGACATGGTCCTTATTACCCAGTATTTTGATACCATGAAGGAAATTGGTGCTGCCTCTAAATCATCATCAGTGTTTATCCCTCATGGACCTGGTGCAGTTAGAGATATTGCAACCCAGATTCGAGATGGGTTGCTTCAGGCATCTCACCCCCAGTAATAACAGCTTTCTATGGCTGAGTTTTACAACAATTTAGTGCTATGTTATAACTTAAATGTCTATACCTGGGAAGTCGTTTAATTGAGTCAGTTTTACTGGCTATCATTTGGTGTGTTTGAGGGAAATCTGTTCCATGTCTCTCTGTTTAGAAATATGAATGTAATTCGCTATGTAAAATTAATGAAGGGGACAGATTTTTCTTTCTCCTTATTTATCACATTTCATGAAAACAATATAAAGAAATATTGCATTGAATTTACTTAAAAACAGGTTTAAGTTTGGGAAATCCAGTTGTGCCAGTGTCAAAAACTACATACAGAATATCTTGTGAGGGTGGTAACCATATAGTTTAAACCACAATGCCACCTCTAATTTTTTTTTTCTTTTTATTATAGCAACACCATGAATGTCGTTATGAACAGACTACACTTCAAAATTCTAAGCCTACCATACTCTTCCAAAATGAGCTACAAAGCTCAAGGCTTGAGTACCAGTGACACTCCAACCTTGGGCCTCTTCTCGATGGACTTGGTTTCTACCTCTCCAGAAACGGTAAAGAGGGATCTTGGGCGCCACTCGTGCTGGATGAGAGCACTAGCCTTGCCAGCATTGTTCATCCGTGCCTTAATCACAGTCAATGGATCCAATGCATGCTGTGTGCCAACAGTGATGGTGTTCTCATTGGTAGAGAAGCTATGGGTCACCTCAGCACCAACAGCAGTGTTAGTCAAGGGATTCACTATATGATAGTAGGATGCATTAAGAGAATCACCCTTGTCATTCCTGCATCAATAAGCAAGGAAGCTATTAAATAAAGGATGTATACTCAGGACATTTCACCTACAGATAGGTACAAAGAACACATCACATACAGAGCCAATGAAGCAATAAGATCTGTGTTGGAGAAGTTCAATCCAGCATTGCATTTGGTGAAATTCCCAGTCTTCATGTCAAACGAGAGATCAGTACCAACAGCAAAAACATTAGTTCCAATCACACTTGAGAAGTTAACTATTGGGTTTGCAGTCAATCCAATGCTTGAGCTTATCCCAGCATAGTCATGCAAATACTGGAGCTCAACCTGTATATAATCAGAAAAAGAAAGATATATTATTGTCCATCAGCACCATGAAACATTCCCAAGTAACACTGAAGATCCATGGTTGCAACATGTTCTCCAGCTTAAAAGCCAAACCAAGATAAAGGAAGTTTCTGAGGCTACAAATTAAAATTTGAGGACAGAATTGCCTACCTTGCCAGACCTCTGATCAGGGACTCTGAAGTCAAAGATAGTCTTCAGCCCAGGTGCAGGTTCGTCAACCGTTATGGTGGTAAAGAGCTGATAAACATACACTACTTTAGTACAACGAATAATGTTCAAAAGAACTTACAAAAGATAGCAACCACATAAATTCAATAGCAAAGGAAATGAGGGGAAAGAAAAGGAACTACCAACTCAACCAAAGAGACCCTTCAACAGAATAGCATTCTCTCCAAAAAGATCAGATTTCAAATTTACATAATGCTACACTAATATATGTTCTAAACAATTTTATCAGGCACATTCCCCTAGTTAAACCACAGGTATCAAATGTAGAGGGAATGGGCATGGGTCATAACTAAAGGCCAATCACACAAACCAAAAAAAAAAAAAATGTAACTAAGCGTTCAAACTTATACATCAAATAAACTAGATATCACCCAAAAAAAAAAAAAACAGATGAAATACTTACATTGGAGTCCGTGTCCACTTTGATATCAGTTGTAACATTTCTATTTTTCAGCTTAGTATTAACATCAGCCAGAAAGAGATCACCTTTCTTTGTTCCAGCAGAGGTAATAGCCTAAAAATAAAGAAAAATAAAAACCCGACAAAACAAAAGAATTAATTACAGTTCTTGCAGCAGATTGAGAGACCAAACATCTTGATGATAAATTGCAATAAAAAGAATGAGATAACCATGCTAAATTTCTAAAAGCATAATCTTTCAACAGTTCAAGCATTAAAATAAATGCACAAACATTGGCTAATAACTTACATTCTCAGAAAATCCCAACAAAAAACAAAATATAAATCTTTGAAGAACAAACCTGATATCTTTAAAGTCAGCTTAAAACATTATTCTTTCATCTAATCAACATAACTTCAACACATGCATAAACAATATTCCAAAAAAACAAAAGAAAAAACCAAAAATCTTCAAAATGTAAGCAAAATCAGAATTTAGGTTCATTAAAACAAATAACACATTCATTTTCACATAAAAAAAATGGAACAAAAATGAAAAGTTGGGCTTCATTTTCATATAAAAAAGCATCCAAAATTAATTCCTTAACAAAAAAATAATTTTGATAAAAAATAAAACCAACCCAGAAAATAAAAACCAAAATTTGACAAAAAAAAAAAAACTTACAACTCCAGTTGGTGATGTGGTGGCCAGAGTGAACTTTTGGTCAGTCTGATAATCCTTGTAAAGAAGATCTATAAAACCCAAAAAAAAAAAAGAAAAATTACACTTAAAACACCTACAAAAATACGTAATTTTTTGTTAAAAAATAAAATTTTTATACCTCTAGCTTTCTTGCCGATATCAGTGTAGAGACCAGGACCCTTACCCATTATATTTCTTTGGAATTAAAATTAAAAATTTCACGAAAAATCTAAGAAAGAATTTCAGTGACAGTGATAAGAATCAAGAGTATTGAACCTTAGAACCTTAGAGGGAAAGAAATATACAGGAGAAGAAAAAATCCTAATTTTGTTAAAATATTGTTTTATTATATAAAAAAAGTGGACCGTTGGATGTTGGAGGTGAGTCGGTTTTTAATGTTTTCACCGTTAATTCAAAATTGAAAGTCTAATCATGTGTTTTTTTTTTTATTTATTAACCTTTTTTCCTTTTTAAACTTGAGTACTTGACCACAAGAAATTGGTTTTATTTTTATTTATCTTTATTTTTTTTTAATTTTGAATGGTAATAACTAATAATAATGATTATTGGCTAAATTTTCAAATTAAGATTAAATTTGTAGGGTGATGTTCAGGATTAAAATTTTTTATTCAAATTAAATTAAAATCAAACATTTTTGAGTTATGACAAATAAGGATTTTTTTTTTTTAACAGAATCGTGCATGAATATAACACGCATCATTAAATCGTATTTATATGAATTACTTGTCATTTTTTACATTATGTGTAACAATTAGGTGCCATTTTTTAATTGTGGCAAGACACATGTCCAAATATATTTTTTAGAGATAATTGTGTGATTAATTAACATGATTAGGATTAATTTAGGGTAATTAATCATGTTACTTAGTTTACAGTTAAAAAAAAAAGAATATTAAAGTAAAAAATGTATTTTTCTCTTCTCTTCAAAATTTCATTTTTTCTAGATGGGTTAAATGCCTTATCCCTTTTCACCATTTTCTCTCTTCCATCAAAATTTAGTTTTCTCTCTTTATAAAAATTCCATTTATCTCTTTTCCTTTAAAAAATTTGTAAAATCTTTTATATTTCATGCAAATCAAAATTTGTAAAATCTTTTATATTTTCATGCAAATCGATCTTTCTTTTTACCTAAAACTAGCTCGATTTCAAATAAATCATTATTTTTTTCTTTTGTTTAAACTAAAATGTAGTACTTCACCTAGAGTTTGTCTGATGAGAACAACTTGAATTTGGGTTTTTAAAGAAAGGTGTAGAGATGAGTTTCCAAAGACTAGATTTTACATATGGGTTTTTGGGACTTTAGTTGGTGGATTATTTTGAATATGATTGGAATAAAAGAAAATGTTTAAAGAGTATACTGCATATATGGTTTTACATATGAGTTTGGGGGGTTTTGTTGTTGAATTATTTTGATTTTGATAATGATCTGAATATGGATTTTTCTTTTTGTTTTATTTTGAATTTGGTTTTGAATCAATTTCTTCAATTTTGAATATGAGTTTATGAGTTTGGGATTTTACATATGGGTTTTTGGGATTTTTGTTGGTAAATTTTGATTTTGATAATGATTCTTTTTTTTTATTTTTTACTATAAATTTGGGTTTGAATCAATTTCTATTTGGATATGGGTTTGAATCAGTTTTAAATTGAATATTTTCTTTTAATTTTATTTTTTCTTTAAAATCAGTTTTTCATTAAAAAAAAAATATCAATGAATATCCACGTAACAATTTCTCCTGTCATTTGTCGCGGTTAACTTAGTGGCGCATGTACAGTATGCACAGAGTTCGTCCCAAAATATTTTAATTTGTTATAATTCAAATACGTTTGATTTTAATTTAACAATAAAAGCTTTACTCCTAATTCAAGCTTCACCCTAATAAATTTAGCATTTAACCATGATTATTTAGACTATTTTAGATTTTTTTCAACTATAATCCCTATTTATAGTTTTTATTTTCTTTTGAGTTGTTAATTCTTTCAATTTTATTTTTTTAATAATACAAAAGTTTTTCCAAATTTAAATTAGATACTAATAATCAGGATAAATAAGTGATTCAAATGTTTTGTAATTAAAGGTAAATGTGAAATATTATTCAATTGAATTCTAATTTTAATTTAATTCATTTATATAATTATTATTAAAAAATAATATTTAATTTAAAATTATTAAATTTAAGTATCTACAACTTTTTTTTGCTTTATCTTTTTATTAAAACATCTCTTTATAAAAAAAAATTTCCATTGTTCATGTTATAACGGTTTTGAGACCGTAGACGTAAAAGAGTTTTAAAATCAAAATAAATGAGAGAAGTCACCATCAATCTTTATTAGGGTGTGATTGATTACTTAAAAGTTTATTTTTTAATAAAACTATAAAAACGGATTTAAAGTTTATCAAAAAGATAAATTTTATCAAAAAATTAGATTATCTGAAAAGTTAGTGTGAAGAAAAATTAGCATATCATTTTCTTCAATTTTGTTTTCCTTTAGGTAATTATGGAGTGAGTCATCAGCTTGTTTAAAGCATTTTTTAACAATAAAACATAGGGGAGGCCACGCTTTGATAGCCCTGAATTTATCCTGCTCTTTTCCGATATACGTTGGATTGCTCTTTAACTATTTATTATTATTATTTTTTCTTAAAAATTTGCATTTTATTATTTTCAATAATAATAATAATGTTAAAAATTGGATTAAAAATATTTTTATGTTTTATATTGCAAAGCAAAGATTCTATTTTTTTAAATATTTCAAAAAATAAATCAACTCAGAAGAATAGTAAAGAATACGTTATAAACTAAACAATCAAACATTTGCTTAGTCTGATCAATTTCTTCTTCATACTGGCTTCTTTTCTCTTGGAGGAAGAGCATTTGAGCCTACGAGTATAGTACATAGCAGAACACTGAAAACCCCCACCGCGCAGCCCTATATGATAATATTTCATGATTGAATTCGGTTTGATTTTTTAATAATATATAATATTATAATTTTTAAATTTTTCTATAAATTTTAATTTTTTAAATTAATTTGATTTAAATTAAATTATTTTAATTTAGTTTATTGACTTCTAAAATTTATTTTTTATATATAATTTTAATATAATTTTAATATATTTAAATAAATTTAAATATAGAATAATTATTTTTATTTTATAAAAATTTAAAAAATGTATAAAAATTAATAAAAATATATAATTAATTTTAATTTTTTTTCAACTTTTTACTTTTTTATTTAAATTTAATATATACATTTAATATTTAAATTTAATTCAAATTAAATAAAAAATTGATCCAAACTAAATCGAATGTTATGATTTTAAATTAATTTTTTATCAATATTTTTTTGAAATTGATTCAATCTAAATTAAATTATATGATTTGATTCAATTCATTGATTTTTAAAATTTTTATATATTATTTTAATATAATTTTTAATATATTTAAATAAATTTAAATATAAAATAATTATTTTTATTTTACAAAAATTTAAAAAATATAAAAAAGTTAATAAAAATAAATAATTTAATTTAATTTGATTAGATTTTTTTATTTTTTATTTTTATCAGAATTTAATATATATTTAATATTTAAACTTAATTTAAACAGAATACAAAAAACCGATTCAACAACACTACATTTCAAATCAATTTTCTATATTTTTTTTCTCGCCCCTAAGCAGCACTATCAATTCAGGGTTGAACACTTTGGCTTCAATTTCATAAATAACTTTTTTCCTCTCTAGCAAACACGGACTCGTCTAACATGACGGTCAACTAGAGGAGGAGCTCTACATCAACTCGAATTTGGGCCAAATAAAGTTTCAAAAATTAGAGAAGATTAAAAAATCTCCAAAACTTAGATCTAAACACAACAACCTTTTATTATGTGAGTGGATTTAAAGCATTATCATCAGAACAGCAAAACAACCTTATATTTTTATATGTAATTTTGGAAGGAAAGCACAAAGAGGAAAACGAAGAAAACATGAGTGATTTAGATCAATGAATTTTTAAATATTTTTAGTGAAAGACTGATAGATGTGATGGATTTGAGAGGAAAAAATGGTTAAATTTTGGGTGAAAAGAATGTCAACGGGAGGTGGCTGAAAGTTATAGACGGGGATTGATGGTTGTACGTAGCAATTCATTGCCAAAACCTGAGCTTCGAGGATGGAGGGCTGAGAAGGAATTTTAAGAGAAAGAGAAAGAACTGATAAAGAATAGAAATGAAAGAAAAATAAGTAAAAAAAAAAAATTCATTTCCCAGCTCAGAAAGACATGTGTGCTAAATAGTGTGTCACGCTATTTTAACATAACGTGTATTACATTTATTGGATTTTACTTAGAGGTGTCAAAATAATTTATATTTTATTAATTTTAATTTATTTGATTTCATAAAATTGATTTTTTTTTAAATGTGGGGTTTGGGTGGGAATTGAATTTTTAGGTGCCACCGCCAATTTGGATAGATAAAAGTATTTTTAATTAATTAATTAATTAATTATATATAAAAATTATATTAATTAAATTATTATTTAATATTTTAATTTAATAAAAATATTATATTTATGTATAATTAAAATGTAATTTATATTAAAAATATTTTATTTAATTAAAATTATTAAATTATTTGAAATTAAATTAAATCAATTATGATTTATAAAAATACGAATTGGATAAAAAATAATATTTTAATATTATAAATATAGATATTAAAATATTAAAATCAGATTGAGGAAAGCTCTTGTCATCTATAATTTAATTCAAAAAAAAATTTTATTTGTTACATTTTTAATAATTTATGTTTTCAATTGTTACAATTAAAAATTTCTTCAATTTTGAATATGAGTTTATGAGTTTGGGATTTTACATATGGGTTTTTGGGATTTTTGTTGGTAAATTTTGATTTTGATAATGATTCTTTTTTTTTTTTTTTACTATAAATTTGGGTTTGAATCAATTTCTATTTGGATATGGGTTTGAATCAGTTTTAAATTGAATTTTTTCTTTTAATTTTATTTTTTCTTTAAAATCAGTTTTTCATTAAAAAAAAAATATCAATGAATATCCACGTAACAATTTCTCCTGTCATTTGTCGCGGTTAACTTAGTGGCGCATGTACAGTATGCACAGAGTTCGTCCCAAAATATTTTAATTTGTTATAATTCAAATACGTTTGATTTTAATTTAACAATAAAAGCTTTACTCCTAATTCAAGCTTCACCCTAATAAATTTAGCATTTAACCATGATTATTTAGACTATTTTAGATTT